GGCCCATTGAAATCAAGGGCATAAAAAACGCCCCTACCCTGATTTACGAGGCGCTGTGCGCTGAAACTCCTGTTAGCTGACAGGGCAAACCCTGCGTGATGTGCCGCGTCCTGGCGGCTCTAGGCTTAGGGGGTTCCCAGGAGGTTTACAGAGCATGCACTTGTAACCCAGGGTAGGGTCGTTTTTTCATCCCTCAATGAAAAGCTGTTCCAGGGCGTGTCGGAACGCTCTCATCCAGGCCGTTCCGCAGGGGGTCCGAGAACTCAGATGAGGTCGGAGGGTCGCACCGCACCGCCGATGCTTCGGCGACGTTGCTGGATGCGGAGCCCGATGTTCTCAACGCCGACGGCGCCGATGCATCGCCGACGTCGCAATGCATCGCCGATGTCGCAATGCATCGCCGAGGTGTCGGCGATGCATCGGCGATGCCGCGCGATCCTCCGATCGGACCCCAGTTGGGAGACTTCTATCTGGCCATCTCAGAGCCTCCCGGGGTGATCTGGAACGGCCGCGGCGCCCGATGGCATCCTCCAGAGCTGCCAAATCTGACAGATCCCCGATGTGTCCCGATCCGATTCTGTCCCGATCGAGGGACCGACGGGGGGAATCGAGGGGGAGGATCGAGAGATCGAGGGGGAGGATCGAGGGGTCGAGGGGGAGGCCTCGAGGGATCGAGGGGGAGGCTCGCTGGATCGAGGGGGAGGCCTCGAGGCGCTCGGGGGGCAGGCCTCGCGGCTGGCGGGGGGGAGGCCTCGCCACCCGCCCCCCGGCGCCGCGAGGCGAAGGGAGCGGCCGCCTGGGTGGCGCACGGGTGCTCGCAGGACTCCGGGGCGGCCCCGCCCCCGGCGTCCGCCGCCGCCGCCCCTCGCCGCCCGCGGCCCCTCCGCCTTCGTCGGCGCCGTCCGCCGCCCCTCGCCGTGGCCGCCGTCCGTCGCCGTCGCCGCCGCTGTCGTTTACCGTCACCGTGGTCAGTGCCTGCGCTGTCGTTTACCGTCGTCGTCGTTCGTCGTCGTCGCTTCGTCGTCGCTTTCCGTCGTCGTCGTCGTCGTTCGTCGTCGTCGTCGTTTTCCGTCGTCGTCGTTTGTCGTCGGCGTCTTTGTCGTCGTTTGTCGTCGTCGTCGCTTGTCGTCGTCGTCGTCCTTTGTCGTCGTCCTTTGTCGTCGTCGCCGCCGAGTTTCTGTTTTGTGTTCACGTCGTCGGCCCATGACGAGCCTCCAGAGGCCTGCGCGAACCACCGTACCACCGTGGAGACCGCTGGGGACCTCGAGGGGCCCCTGGACGACGTCGTCTGTGTCGAGGGTGGAGTCAAGTTTTTCAGACTTCCCCGTGCCCCCATTCAATATCCGGGGCGCTCGGGCCTGACTTTCGTGGAATCGAATGAGTTGGCATCTCTTGCTCGGCAGAAGGCGGCGGGAGCAAAACGAGCCCCCCCCTCCAAGAGATACGAATGGTTTTGGGCTCAGGCTTTCCAGAACTGGCGCGGCCCAGTCCGCCATCTCGCCTGGGTCGTGGACAGCTGTAGGCCTTGGGGAGGAGGCCTCTTGAGGTCTCTTGGAGGGCCTCTCGTTGTCATGCCTCCTCTTGAGAACCTCTCGGGGCCTCTTGGGGGCGTCTTGTTGGCGTGTTGGGAGTTTGGGGGGGGCAGTTCGTTTGGAGGCTTGCTCGCTGTCTCGCGGGCTGGGTTCGGGGGAACGGCTCGAAATGTCAGTTTGGGTTGCCCCTCAAGGGAACTTTCTCGAGGGCCCCTTGGGGCCCAAGAGCAACCTCGGGCCCTCTTGGGGATCGTCTTGGAGCCCTCTGGGTACGTATCTGGAGCTTTTCGGCCCGTCACCAGTCCGCCCTGGTCGTCTTGGAGCGCTCCCGGGGCCTCTCTTGGGGCCCTCCTGGCCAGTCTCGGCGCTCTCCTGGCCTTCCTGGCCTCGGGGGTACACACGCACGCCAGAAGGGCACGCGGGGAGCCCCAAGAAATCATGGACTCGGGGCCTCGGGCCCACTAAGGAATTCTTTCAATACTCAAACTTGAGCACTGAGGCTTCCGATGACCTGGGGGCCATTCTACTCCGTGCCGCGGGGCGCGATGGACATGGACACATTTAGATGCACACGGCGACCATGTAAACACGTTGATACGTACATATACACAGAAGTTTGCTAGCTTAGACCCCACCGTTGAGCCATGGCGCTGTCAAAGTTGTATAACGCAATACTGTACGACATATGGCTACATCTATACTGTATATATAATATTTACATTACATCTGTATACGCATATATATACTACATATGGTGTGTTATGGTTGGTACCAGATGTGTCCTGGAATAGGTGTGGTGTAATCTGTGCGGTGTAAGCTGCGTGGGGTGGACACTGTCGGGCAAGCCGCGCGGCGCAGTGCGTGTCGATGGCGGTCTGTGGTGCAGAGCTCCTCGGTGCAGGCGGGGCGGCGGTCGGCGAGGCGCCCACGGGCGACGGCAGAGCGGCAGTGCGGCGAACTTATGGGCAGACCCACACAGGACCTGGTGCGCTCACGAGGAGAGGAGGAGGAGGAGGAGGAGGAGGAGGAGGAGGAGGGAGGAGGAGGAGGAGGAGGAGGAGGAGGAGGAGAGGAGGAGGAGGAGGAGGAGGAGGAGGAGGAGGAGGAGGCGGAGGAGGAGGAGGAGGAGGAGGAGGAGGAGGAGGAGGAGGAGGAGGAGGAGGAGGAGGAGGAGGAGGAGGAGGAGAGGAGGAGGAGGAGGAGGAGGAGGAGGAGGAGGAGGAGGAGGAGGAGGAGGAGGAGGGAGGAGGAGAGGAGAGGAGGAGGAGGAGGAGGAGGAGGAGGAGGAGGAGGAGGAGGAGAGGAGGAGGAGGAGGAGGAGGAGGAGAGGAGGAGGAGGAGGAGGAGGAGGAGGAGGAGGAGGAGAGGAGGAGGAGAGGAGGAGGAGGAGGAGGAGGAGGAGGAGGAGGAGGAGGGAGGGGGAGGGGGAGGGGGAGGGGGAGGAGGAGGAGGAGGAGGAGGAGGAGGAGGAGGAGGAGGGGAGGAGGAGGAGGAGGAGGAGGAGGAGGAGAGGAGGAGGAGGAGGAGGAGGAGGAGGAGGAGGGGGAAGGAGGAGGGGAGGGGGGGAGGAGGAGGAGGAGGAAGAGGAGGAGGAGGAGGAGGAGGAGGAGGAGGAGGGGGAGGGGGAGGGGAGGGGGAGGAACGGAGGACGGAGGACGGAGGACGGGAGGATGGAGGACGGAACGGAGGAAGGAGGAGGAGGAGGAGGAGGAGGAAGAGGAGGAGGAGGAAGCGCCCACGGGCGGCAGCCTGGGGTCCACGTGGCGAAGCCTCGGCGGGCTCCTCCGGGACGCGGTGCGCCCACGAAGCGCGCTCCAAGGGCGCGGCCGCGGGCGGCACCTGCGGCGGAAAAGCTCGGCGGGGCCTGGCGAAGGGCGGAGGAGGAGGAGGAGGAGGAGGGGGGGGAGGAGGAGGAGGGGGAGGAGGAGGAAGAGGAGGAGGAGGAGGAGGAGGAGGAGGAGGAAGAGGAGGAGAGTGTGGACGCGGTGCGCCCACGAAGCGCTCTCAAAGGGCGCGGCCGCGGGCGGCACCCGCGGCGGAACATCTCGGCGGGGCCCGGCGAAGGGCGGAGGGTCCGAGGTGGACAGGCCTCAAGGGTTCCCACAAGGCTTGGCATCGCTCGGACGTGTGAATTTTTCCCTCGGCGAGGACCATCCAGGAGCATCCTTGATCATCTGGCGAAAAACACACGCACGAAACCCTAAAAAAAAATCACAGGGAATGGACGTCCGAGCGATGCCCAGAAGGGCGCGAAGTGATTCGCGCTTCGCGGTCCTCGTTCCTTCTCCCCCTCCTCCTCGTCCTCCTTTTCTCCCTTTTGGGGGCGCGGCGCGAGAGCACGAAGTTCTTCGCGCCTCACGCAGCGCGAAGCGCGAAGTTGGGAGCCCCAGGACCTCCTACCCTGACACGTTGATTCAGGAATTGGAAGTTTTCGGTTCGCGAGAGGGCGTCGCGGCCGTCATTTTTGCGGGTCCATGTCCGTCGGTTTCGGTCCCAGGCCGTTTTCGCTAGAAGGAGGTTTACTTAAAGGGAGGTTTGCCCACCGCCGAAAGAAGAAAGGGCATAAGCATAAACTTTGGCGCTCCTCCGCCCGGATGTCTTGGATCCGCGTTGTGGCCCTCCCGGCGGCGCCCTCGGCGCCGCCCCTGGCGGGGGATCCAGCACGGATCCAAGAAATCCGCTCGGAGCGCCAAGAGTTTATGTTTATACAGGTTTTTCTTCCTCAAGGCGAACCCATGAATGCAAGCCTTGGCTTGGGAATACATGAGCACCAATACCATGTATACACATGGAGCCCTTCGCACGACGTCGCTTGTCGTCGCCGTTTCGGTTCGCGCTGAGGGAAGGAAAAAGGGGATGGTACGTGGGGAAGGGTTGGCTTTGGGCGATTGTTCGATGAGGATGCGAGGGAGAAAGTCGATGACGGGCAGCGGAGCGGGAAGAGGAGAAGGAGCAGGAGTTGGAGCACGAGTGTGAGCACGAGCGCGGGCACTTGGAGTAGATCCCAGACCCCCGACGTGCATTTCTTTGATGACGTGGACCCGAGAGGTTAATTAGGACCTCGTCCCGATGATGACGTGGACCCGAGAGGTTAGGACCTCGTCCCGACCCCTTCCGACACCTTCCTGGAGACTGGTTTTTCATTTTGTGGAGTTGGTGGACGGTCCCGAGGCATGGTCAGGGGCCCCGGAGGCGGAACATCTATAGAGGAGTGCCTGTCTTGTTTTTTCACGCCGCGAGGGGGTCGGGGGTGCTGGGGTTACGTCGGGCGTGTCCCTCTACAGGAGGAATCTTCAAAAGCGGTTATGAACAAATAGTCTGGGGACGATTCTTTGGATTCTCTTTTTTGACCACTGTGGAGCACTTTTTGGATGTATGTGTTTTTTAGTTTTTTGGTCCCAAATCCACCTGTAGGCGAACACGCCCGACCCAGGAAGAGGTGGGCACCGCCGCCCCCGCCGCCCGCAGGGCTACGCGGAGTGCTCCGACACGAGGCCCCCGCGGCCCCCCCTCGCCGCTGCCCGGGCCGGCCCGCCGCCGCCGCATGGGAGCGCCCCGTCGGCGCGGCGCTCCCCTTTGTGTCAGGCAGCAGCGGAGCGTCGTGTCCCCTCGCCGATAGGCTCATGATGTTCCAACCCTGTCCCTGTCCCTCTACAGGAGGAGTTATATATATATATATATATATATATATATATATATTAATATAATTAAAACTTAAACAATAGTATGGGGACGATTTGTTGACCATGTTTGATTATTTGGGGGCATTTGGGGGGTATGTTTTATTTCTCGCCCAACATCCCCGTGTAGGGGTATGATGTTCCAACCTACGATAGCCTTGATCGCCAGAAAGAGTTTCGAGCACGAAACAAGTACCTGGAAACTCGAGGGTGTTCGCGCGTTGGGCCCCGGGAGACACTCGTTCGACACCGTTTCGACATTCTTTCGACACTTTTCCGGGTATAGTCACCAACGAAAAGTTAGCACGAGCATTCCAAGGAAAAGTTAGCACCGCCTGGTAACTGTGCTATCTTCTTCGGTGCCCTCTTGGGCCTGAAAATCCTACCTCTTTGGGCGTTGCGGAATGGATCCAGGCCAGCGTGTGCTAACTACTCCTTGGAACACTTGTGCTAACTACTTTTCGCGGGTTGGAACACTTGTGCTAACTACTTTTCGCGGGGTGGGGTGCAGCTAGGGCTGGATCTCTACCCCTTCGAACCCTTCTCCTCGTCATTTTCCGTTCCTCTCCCACATCGTCCTCCTCTCCTCTCCTCTCCTCCCCCTTCCTGGGCATCCGAGGCAGAGAAGGAGGAGCAGGAGGAGGAGGAGGAATGCGTTCTTCCAAGCTGCGGCATGGCACAGGCAGGCCCCCTCTGAACAGGCGGGGCACCTACTCTCTGCTATTTAGAAGGTTGGCCCCCCCCTGAACGGGCGGGGCACCTACTCGGGTCCGAGGTCGGAAGATGTCAGATGCGGCAGTGGTTCAAGGGGCCCCCCGACCCCCGACCCCCGACCCCTGCTGGTCGAAGGTCGGGGTCGGAGGTCGGAGGCCACCTTGAGCCAGCGCCACCCCTTGCAACGCCCGACCTGGCACATCCGAGCCCGAGGGGGGCGTCGGACAGCCCGCGGCCCGCGGGCCGCGGACGGGGGCCCGGCGCCTGGGCCCGGCGCCCGACGGGGGCCGGGGCGTCGGAGCCCGACGGCGACGGCGGCGGGGGCGGCGGCGGCGGCGGCGACGACGACGACGACGCCCATAGGGGTCCCAGCCTTCCCTCCCTCCCCCCTCCCTCCCTCGCCTCCTCCTTCCCAGGGCGTGCTATCTACTCCCTCCTCCCCTCCCTCGCCTCCTCCTTCCCAGGGCGTGCTATCTACTCCCTCCTCCCCTCCCTCCCTCGCCTCCTCCTTCCCAGGGCGTGCTATCTACTCCCTCCTGAGGCGCCCGGTGTCACCCGACGCGAATGCCGACGCGTAAAATATCGTATCAAACGCCCTCTCCACTGCAAGTGCATGCCAAAAAAAAGTAAAAAAACTCGATGTATTATTGATTTTCTGAAACTGCACGCGCAATTGGCTCGTGAAATTTCGGGTTGTAATTTCGAAAAGCGGCCTGTTATCGACGTTTTGGCCCAGAAAAAGTTTCCCCGGGGAGATGGGTGGCGCATTCTCAGAGATAGCACAGGCTGGATCGATATTGTGCTAACTTTTCGTTGGTGACTATACTCGAGATTATTTCTGGGATGTTGTCTTTCAGTACGATGGGAGCAACATAACTATAGGCCAACAAAGGAGTGTTCTAAAATCCTCTTGTGGGTTGCAGGGCATGTTATCATAACATGTTTGGCTGGGACTGGTTTGTTTTGGAACAGCGGGTTGCTCTTCCAAGAACATTGCTCTTGTTCTTGGAACATTCTGGGGTACTAAGAAGATTTCGTGGTAGGCCTGTAGGAATACCAGGGCGGTCGGTCTCTGCTCAATTTTGTTCTCCCAACCATTATGTGATGTTGGGTCCTCGTTTGAACAAACGGCGCTTCGTGATTCCTTCTTCTGTTTGTCCCCCTCCTCCTTCCTCCCATCTTCTCGAAGAAGAAAAAACGTATAAGCATAAACGTTTGACGGTCCGCGCGGGTCCAAGAACTCCGCGCGGAGCGCCAGCTGTTTATGTTTACGGCGTTTGTTCTTCTTCGATTTCTGTTTCTGCCGTCTGCATGTCAAACACGTCGGCACACCACCCACACGTGCCGTGGCCCCCGAGGGAACTCCACCTAAGGTCTTAGTGGCTGCGTTCACATGTGGGCGTCACGCCCGTTTCGGCGCACCCGTCACACGCTTCGCGGCCCCATGGGGAGCGCCACGTGAGGCCCCAGTGGCTACGCTCGCATGTGGGCGTCACGCCCGTTTCGGCGCACCCGTCAGACGCTTCGCGGCCCCATGGGGAGCTCCACGTGAGGCCCCAGTGGCTACGCTCGCATGTGGGCGTCACGCCCGTTTCGGTGCACCCGTCACATGCTTCCTGGCCAGGGAGGGAGCGCCATCTGAGGCCCCAGTGGCTACGTTCGCATGTCGGCGTCACACCCGTTTCGGCGCCCACTTCACACGCTTTGTGGCCCCATGAGGAGCTCCATTGAAGGCCACGGTGGCTACATTCGCATGTGGGCGGCACGCCCGTCTCGGCGAACCCCGCGCACGTTTCGTGGCCCCATCGGGAGCTCCACGCAAGGCCACAATGTCGCCCTTCGCATGTGGGCATCACGCCAATTTCGGCGCACCCCTCACACCCGACGTGGCCTCAGAGGGAGCTCCATCTGAGGCCCCAATGTCTACGTCCACATGTGGGCGTCACGCCGGTTTCGGAGCACACCTGATACGTTTCGTGGCCCCGTGGGGAGCTCCACCGAAGGCCCCACTGGCTACGTTCGCACGTGGGCATCGCGCCCGTTTTGGCGCACCCGTCACACCTTTTGTGGTCCCAGAGGGAGCTCCACTTGAGGCCCCAGGGGCACCGTCCATGTGAGGGCGTCACGCCTGTTAGGGCACGCCCTTCACACGCTTCGTGGCCCCGTGGGGAGCTCCACGTAAGGCCCCCGAGGCACCGTCCACATGTGGGTTTCACGCCCGTCTCGGCACACCCCTCACACGCAACGTGACCCCATAGGGAGCTCCATTGACGGCTCCAGAGACACCGTTCACCGCTGGGCGTCCCGCCCGTTTTGGTACACCCACCTTTCACACGCTTCGAGAGCCCCTAGTGAGCTCCACGTAAGGCCCCAATGTCGGCGTTCGCATGTGGGAATCACTTCCGTTCCGGCGCACCCGTCACACCTTTGGTGGCCCCAGAGGGAGGTCCACCGAAGGCCCCAGAGGCACAGTCCACATGTGGGCCTCACGCCTTCTTCGGCACATCCCTCACACGCGACGTGGCCCCAGAGGGAGTTGCATCGAAGGCCCCAAAGGCACCGTCCACATGTGGGCTTCACGCCCATCTCGGCACACTCCTCACACATTGCGTGGCCCCACACCCTTCACACGCTTCGTGGCCCCCCAGGGGGCTTCGCCCCAGGCCCCAGGGCACCGTCCACAGTGGTCGGCACGCCCTTTTCGATACGACCCACATTCTTCGTGGCCCTATTGGGGGCTCCATCGAAGGTCCTAGGGGCACTCTCCACATGTGGGCGTCACGCCCGTTTCGGCGCACCCGTCACACGTTAGGTGGCCCCCCAGGGTCTTCCATCGAAGGCCCCAGTGGCACTGTCCACATGTGGACGTCACGCCCGTTTCGGCACACCCCTCATACGCGTCGTGGCCCCCGAGGGGGCTCCACATAAGGCCCCTGTGGCTGAGCTCGCATGTGGGCATCACGACCCTTTTGGTGCACCCCTCTAACGTTTCGTGGCCCAAGAGGGAGCTCGACTGAAGGCCCCAGTGGCTACGTTCGCATGGGGCGTCACGCCCTTCTCGGCACACCCCTCACACGCAACGTGGCCCCATGCGGAGAACCCCATCCTGCGTCTCATTTGCCCTGCGGTAGTCAGACCTGCATATGATTGGGACCTTCGCCAGGATGATCATGCTCCCCACCCGACAGGACGGGGCTGTTAGGTTTAAGGGAGAGATCCTAACCCAGCTCGCATTAGGTCGGGCATGTCCCCCTAGAGGCGGATCTGGGACGAAAAATAAAACATGTCAAACAATATTCCACAATGGCCAGAAATAGTCAAACAATCGTCCCCGGACTATTTTTTCCCCTACCTAGGCTCTGCCTAGAAGGGTTCCTACTCGGTTGGCTTAGAGGACCGGGCAGTGTAAACCGCCCCGGGCGGTTCCCCCGGTCCCCTGGGAGCCAAGCAAAAGCAACAGCAAAGGTAAAAGCAAACGCGCGGTTCCCCCAGTGGCGCTCCCTGGGTGCCAAGCAAAAGGAAAAGCAAAGGCAAAAGTGAAGGCAAAAGCGAAGGCAAAAAGCAAAAACATAGCATAGCCTAGCCTAGCACAGCATAGCATAGGCTCCAACTCCTGGGTCGGGTCGCACTGGGATCATTCACTATGTTCGAATTTTCCTCCTGTCGAGGGACAGGCCCGACTTGAGGCTGTTAGGTTTAAGTGAGAGATCCTAACCCAGCTCGCATTAGGTCGGGCATGTCCCCCTAAAGGTGGATCTGGGACGAAAGATTAAAACATGTCAAAACAGATTCCACAATGGCCAGAAATAGTCAAACAATCGTCCCCTGATTTTTTGTGTTTTTTTTGAATGTTCCTCCTGGAGAGGGGCGGGCCCGACTTGAGGCCAGCCCTCCCTGCACACCGCGGCCGCCAGGCCCCCAAGGGGTCCGGGCGCTCCTGCCGCGTATCCCGCGTCGCGTCCTCGACGAATGCCGACTGCATGCCGCGACCGCCAGGCCCCGGGGGGATCCCGAGGGGCCCGGCGCTGCCTGGGGATCGCGCCTCGCGCTCCCAGGTGCGGATCGCGGGAAGCAAAGCACTTCCTTGGTGAATTTAGTTGGTTTGAGGGTTTTAGACAGATGGTCGCAGCCACGCAGAGGGCGTGCATAGCGACGCCCCAAGTGCTCGGTCTCCAGTACTTCTACGTGGCGGCGCCCCCGCAGGCACGCAGAGGGCACGCGTGGCGACGGGGGCGTCGCGACGCAGAGCTTCTAAAGACCAAACATTTTGAAAACCAATTGTTTCCACTACTGAAGTGCTGGAGCTTGCTGTTTTTGATGGCATGCGACATGCAGGAAGGGAGCCTCCGAAGGGAAGGGCCGCCGGAGGAGCGGGCTCCTGGAGATCGCTCTCGCCGCCTGCGGGCTCCCGGGGGGCCCTCCTGAGGCCCTGTGGCCGTCCTCGAGAAGACCCGGTCAGAGCCCCGAATCATGAGGGATAACTCGGGTCAGGGCTAACTCGGGTTCGCTTTTCGGGATTCCGAACCCGAGTTACCCCGGACCCGAGTTACCCCGGATATTCGGGCGTCCAGAGCCCCAAATCATCAGGGGTAACTCGGGCCAGGGCTAACTCGGATTCCTTTTTCGGGAATCCAAGCCCGAGTTTCCCCAGACCCGAGTTACCCTGGATAACTCGGGCGCCCAAGAGCTGGGTGTCGTCCGAGGTCACACCCTCGTCCTCATCGCGGTTTGTCCCATAGGGAAGAGGCGGCGCTGTCTTTGCAGTCGTGCTCGCGCTGCTGGGCGTTGTAGCCGCTGCGTTCGCCGTGTAACTGGCCGTAGATCCGGCGCTGCGCTGAGGCGCACTGCTGGAGGTCGCGCTGGAACGCTCTGAGGAGGCCGCAGCGCCCGATACATCCTCCAGAGCCGCCAGATCTCAGAGATTCTCGATTCATCCTCACCCGAATATATCCTCGTCTTGGCTTCGGATTTGGCGTCACCTTAGGTCCAGGACCTGCTTCCACTTGGACGTATGTTTCTCATGTTGCTTCATTCTCGCGTTCCCGCCCTGCTGACCCTTGCCAGCATGAAACCTATATCCCTAGTATTTGGCACCACCTCACCCCGGTGCCGATCTCGAGGGCTGCCTCAGCTTCTGAAGCCACACCCCTGAGATTGTCATCGCCTTGGGGTTGCCGATCTGAGGGCTGGGGATCTTTCGGCTCGAGGCCGATAGGAAGAAACGACACGAGCTTGTGAGTGTGCGACGGAGTGCGAATCGACGAGCGTTGAGGAGGAAGAGGAGGAGGAAGATGAGGAGGAGGATACATACATATATAGAGATGGCTTTAAACAAAAGACAACAAAAAAGCTTCTCTGGCGGGCGGCGGCGATGCTCCGCCGACGCGCCTCGACGGCCTGCTGTGCAGGCAGTCGTCGCCCAACCGGCCCGCCCTCCAGCGGAAGGGCGCCCCGCGGCCACGGCGGCCGCGGCCGCGGGCGCCTCGGGGCGGCCGCGGGGGGCCAGCGGCGGCCCCGTCGTCGTGATCTCCTGGGGGTCGGGGGCAGCTTTTCCTCGTCCTCGCCGTGGCCACCAGCATCGTCGTCATCACCTCCATGTTCCCCTCAGCAGCATCATCATCAGCAGCAGCATCATCACCATCACCGTGTATCGCTTCAGCAGTATCAACATCAGCATGCTCAGCATAACCCTCATCATCACCATCACCATATCATCGTTATCATCACCATCATCACCATTATCACCAGCATCATTGTCATCTCCCTCGTTCTCCCCGCGGCCTCCTAATCCTCCAGTTGACCAGCCTCCCCTCTTGCTCACCGTCGTCCTCTCAGCCTTCCGCTGATATCATCATCACCATCCTCATGATCATCGTCTGTCTCCCCTTCCTGCAGTCGCCGGATGTGCTGCAGACCGGTGCACATGCATGCATTCATTTGCTGCGCGTTCCGTGCATCCGCCGAGGATGTCGAATCGACCGGTCTTTTCGACACGTCCCAGAGCCAGGCAATGAACGAGCCGAGCAGTCCCTTGAGGGACGAGGGGTCCATCGCGCCACCCCTCGTCCCTCAAGGGCAACGTTCGGGGGCATAGGCTCAGCGCAGGACGCATCCACTGCCAATCGCCCATGGATCGCCGATGGTGGCCCGATAGCTCACCCCGCCCTGGAACGTCAGGCTCCGCTATCGAAGGTGCCTCGCCGATGTATCGGCGATGTACCGCCGATTCCAGCTCGATGTTGCCCCCCTGCGCCGGTCCACTCCCTAACGTTGCCCCTCCTGTCCGCGCCCGTTCCCGAGACACCTCGGCGTGCGAAGTGCATTTCCCATTGCAGCAGTGCGTTTCCTGTGTCAAGAAAAGAACTCCATCAGGAAGGCAAGTAAACGAAACGATCTGCGTAGTGGATCAGAGCTGCTTGCTGGACTCCCAGTTCTGAGCTTCGGCGCACCCGCTGCGCGCCCCCACAGCGCACCTCCGACTCGGAGGCCGTCGGCGAGAGGCCCCCTGGCGCCGCGAGCCGGTCGGGCCCGAGAGAGAGCTTCCGAGGAGCGAGGACCGGCTACGGCACGTCTCTGTCGTGTCGGCCCGCGCCCGCCGCCAGGGGTACAGCACCGGCTGGCCGCCCCGGCCGCTCCGCAGCGGCTCCCGCCGCGTGAGCACCTCCCCTCCCTCTCCCCGCCCCGCGGCCGCCCCCTCCCCCCGCGGCCGCCCCGCGGCCTCCCCCTCCCCCCTCCCCCCCGCGTAGGTTATGCATAGTGGACTGTTATATACCTCCCTTTTCTCGTCTCGTGGCGCTGGACAGTGAGAGCGATGCCGTTGCCCGGCTTGCCGGGGCGCGCGTGCGAGCTGCCTCTTTGCCGCGCGGCGGCGTGCAACGCTGGCGTCGCGTCGGCGCGGCGGCGGCCCCGCCGCTGGCGTTCAGGGCGGAACGCCGCCGGTGGCTCAGAGTCTGCCAAGGAGCAATCTGGCGATCGAGAGGCCGCAGGTTTCACCGAGCGCGTTCCACTACTCGCAAAGTGCCAACTCGCAAACGTCCAGAATCAAAAAAGGTAGACAAAAAAGAACAACAAAAAACATGTCCGCTTCAATGCGATTTCTAGTAGATCCCCCGCGGTGGATCCAGGCCAATTGCGAGTAGCTGCTTTGCGAGTGGGGGAACGCGTTCGTCGAAGGTTGTTCGAGGTTGAACGATCTACTCGGAGTCAGTACCAGCTCCGGGGTCGTCACGACACGGACATGCCGCACCGAGGAGGAGGGTCCTAAGGTGGGGTTTGAGGGCCGAGGTTGGTGGGCGGCCTGGACGGCGGCCAGGTGCTGCTCGGAGGTGGGCATGCAGTGCTTCGAGAAGGACAAGTTCTGGGCCAGCCCCTCGGGCTCGCGCTCGATGGTCCACACGTTCTGTGTATCGTCGAGTCCTGTAGCACACGCCAAGTCGGAGAAGCTTCGCAGCTGTGGGAATCCAGCGACTGGACTCGCAGGCTTCCAGGCCGCTAACAGAAACCATCCCCGCGTGATACATACCCAGACATGCGACGTCCTGATTTTTTCAGGACGGCGCCCTCGGAAGTCCCGACCCTTTCCCCGGGGCCGGTTTTCATCCTGACTCGTTTTTTGACGGTCCCGAGGCCCGGCGAAGGCCTCCAGAGCCCGAAAACGGCGAAAAACCTCCGTCCTGAATTTTTTACGACGCAAGCATGTCTGGGTACATGTCGGCGGAACGTCGAGCGTTCCAGGGCCCCAGATTGTACACGGACGCCAGCGCTGGAGGTCCGAGAATGGAACGTCAGCTCTTGGCGGGGCCGGGTCGGGCCTCGGGAGCCCCACGGGTGGGTGGCCCGGACAAGTCGGGAAACCCCTGTGGCCGGCGCGAGATCCTTCCCTCCCTCCTCCCTCCTCCCTCCTCCCTCCTCCCTCATCCCTCATCCCTCATCCCTCCTCCTCCTCCTCCTCCTCCTCCTCCCTCCTCCCTCCTCCCCCCTCCTCCTCCTCCTCCTTCTCCTCCTCCTTCTCCTCCTCCTCCCCGTCCTCCTCCTCCGCTTCCTCCTCCTCCGCTTCCTGTCCAGGGGCCGAAGTCGAGTCCGGTTTTGGGCCGTCCGCCGAGCACACCAAAGGGGATGAGGAAGAGGAAGGGGAGGAGGGGGAGGGAGGAGGACCAGAGTAAAACACATTCGGGCCTCGGGAGCCCCACGGGTGGGTGGCCCGGACAAGTTGGGAAGCCCCTGTGGTCGGCGCGAGATGTCCAGGGGCCGAAGTCGAGTCCGATTTTGGACCGTCCGCCGAGCACACCAAAGGGGATGAGGAAGAGGAAGGGAGGAGGGGGCGGGAGGAGGACCAGAGCAAAGCACGTTCGCGTCAAGGACGCTGCAGTACACCCTTCCTCCAAGTTCCTTCATAAGTTCCCATAAGAACTGATGTTCATGTCAGTGAGTGTCTCAGTGAAAGGCAGCGGCATGATAATCCGCAGTCCTGCCAACACATGAGTCTTGGGATTCCAACGCCGCGAATCAACGTTATCGTTGCGTCCACACAAGTGTAAACCGTGCCAGGATATCAGTCACAAAGCATGCCTAAATCATGACAGAATACCGTCCATGGAATTTCAACCCTACGATTCCTTCGGACATGGGAGGGAGGGGTAGGAGGAGGAGGAGGAGGATGAAGAGGAGGAGGAGGAGGAGGAGGAGGAGGAGGAGGGGGAGGAGGAGGAGGAGGAGGAGGAGGAGGAGAAGGTGGAGGTGGAGGAGGAGGAGGACAATGAGGAGGAGGAGAAGATGCGGGAACGAAAGAGGATAATGATGGGGGGGAGGACGGAGCTTAGAGGCAGGAGGTAGGGAGGGAGGGAAGGGGAAGGAACGAGGAGGAGGAGGCGTGCATGCAATGCCTCGAGGAGGACAAGCACAGGGCCAGCCTCCTGGCCGTCCTCCCCCAAGGGACATTTTACATTTGATGATTACCGCCCGCGTGCACTCTGAGGCACCATCCCTGGAAGATGGAGACGCACTAGCGATAGAGTTTCCCAACGGCATGGAGAAACCATGACACTTCCCGAGGCAACAGGGCGGCGGAAACGCGGATCCATGGCTCTGGATGTAATTCCTTTGTTGTTGTTTGAAGGGTATTCCTTCGGTCCTCTACATTTTAACTCCAGGTCGGTCACACACCGCGCGTTGCCGGCGCAGTTCCTGCAAGGAAGAATTCTGCTAGCGATCGGAGTGTGAGGCTTTGGGGCTCGTCGTGCTGCATTTTGAAGTGAAGGCCCTGGACTGCGACTTGCATTACAAACGCGTAGCAGCATGTGTGCTCTGACCTACGTGCCAAGCCCATCTGCAACAAACGGCAATACCAACGGGCTCTCCCAGGCCGAACGGGCATTTCAAGGGCGCTTGCCCCTGCTGCAGGCGTGAGACTCAGGAGGTGGAAAACACAGACACAATGAATCGTCGATCCCCAGGAAGATATGGGAAAATATGGAAGTGTGGGGGGGGGGAAAGGCAGGAACCCAAAAGATGTACGAAGATATGGGGAATATTTGTACTTGTGTGTATTTCTTTGTGTGTCCCAGGGCCCCTTCAGAGACGTCACTCCGCCAGACCTCTCACGAGCTCACGGCTGGGTGGCGACAGGTGCGCCAACTTGCAGTTTGCAGCGCCCACGGAGGGGCGTTCTGTTTCAGGTCCGTTTATACGGCCACGCTCCGCTCGTCCTCCAGGAACTCGAGGACTTGTTCACGGCCGTCGAGGAGCAGGAGGAGGAGGAGGAGGAGGAGAAACGCTCTACTCAAACCGATCGTCGAGGAGCAGGAGGAGGAGGAGGAGGAGGAGGAGAAACAGTCGTCGAGGAGCAGGAGGAGGAGGAGGAGGAGGAGGAGGAGGAGGAGGAGGAGGAGGAGAGGACTTGTCCACGGCCGTCGGGGAGCAGGGCGGGAGGAGGAGCAGAAACGCTCTACTCAAACCGAGCACCCTGCTTGGGGTTGGGAAACAGCTTGCATTTTCTCGCAAGGGTCTTCGATCTGCGAGTCCTGGCAGCAATTAGCCCTCCCAGTACGCCTGTGTCCCCACATGGGCAAGTATTGTGGTGTGTCGTTATCAGGTGCAAATCCGTCACATCTCTTCTGCGCACAGGGTACCAACATTCAGACTTCGCGTCAATGGCACTTTGACGTGGCGCCTTCGCCACATACCAGCCCGTGGCAATTCACAGCATGACGGTATTGAAATCACAAGAGGCCCGGCGCCCGTGGCGCGGCGCCCTCCTCCTTCCCGTCGCCTGTCTTCGGCGTATCTTGGTCGCCGTCGTCGTCATTTCCGTCTTGGCGTTGCCGTCGTTGTGGCCGTCGTTGTTTTGGCCGAGGTTACTACCGTCGTCGCCGTACTCCCAGACATGCGAAGGTATCCTTGTTTCAGCGCGCGGCCCCAAGAGGTCCCGCCCTTTCCCCAGCGGCTATAGCTCTTCGCCGCAGATCCAGTTTTGATTGCAGCCGGACCGAGGTATAAGATCGAGGCCGGTTCGGGGAGGGTATTCGAACGTTCTTCGTGCTTGTTGGACGTTCCTGTGCATCTTGGGGCGGGCGCCCTTGGATGCTCTGTGTGTTTGGGCCCGCGGAGGGTCTCGTGATCTTGGGGGGTGCTCTTTTGGACCAGGTCCGACTGCGCCCCGGGGCCTGAAAACGGGCCCCGCCCCCAGACCCCCCAGCGGCATGAGTCTTGCACAACGCCGACCCCCAGAGGTCTGCACCCCTTCCCCAGGACCGGTTCTCCATCTCGAGAGTCGTCGTTTGACCGTCCCGAGGCCCGGCGAGTGCCCCCCCCCCCAGAGGCCGAAAATAGCGGAACAAAACAACTCTCCTCGTGCTTTTTTCGCATCGCGAGGGGGTCTTCGCCGAGGCCGAGAACCATCGAGGAGCACCGCCCGCCCAAAGCATCGGGCAACCTGAAAAGTGAATGGTTGAAGGGTTGAACGGTCGAGCTGAGGTTGGCAACCTTTCAACTTCTCCTCCAGCCTGACAGCCCTTCGCCCGACCCTTCGCCCAACCTGACAGCCTCTCGCCCAACCCTTCGCCCAACCTGACAACCCTTCGCCCAACCCCTCGCCCAACCTGACAGCCCTTCGCCCAACCCTTCGCCCAACCTGACAACCCTTCGCCCAGCCTGACAGCCCTTCGCCCAGCCCTTCGCCCAGCCTGACAGCCTGTCGCCCTCCGCCGCGTCGGCCGAAGCGGCGGGAGGCCCGAGCCGGCCGCCGAAGCGGCGGAGGCCTGAGCCGGCCGCCGGCCGCCGGTTTTTGGTGAAGTCTGCGGTTCTCCTCTATTCGGCTTCCCGACGCTCGAGGAGGAGGAGGAGGAAGAGGAGGAGGAGGAGGAGGAGGAGGAGGAGGAGGAGGAGGAGTAGGAGGAGGAGGAGGAGGAGAGGGAGGAGGAGGAGGAGGAGGAGGAGGAGGAGGAGGAGGAGGAGGGAGGAGGGAGGAGGAGGAGGAGGAGGAGAGGAGGAGGGGAGGAGGAGGAGGAGGAGGAGGAGGAGGAGGAGGAGGAGGAGGAGGAGGAGGAGGAGGAGGAGGAGGAGGAGGAGGAGGAGGAGGAGGAGGAGGAGGAGGAGGAGGAGGAGGAGGAGGAGGAGGAGGAGGAGGAGGAGGAGGGGAGGAGGAGGAGGAGGAGGAGGAGGAGGAGGAGGAGGAGGAGGAGGAGGAGGAGGAGGGAGGAGGAGGAGGAGGAGGAGGAGGAGGAGGAGGAGGAGGAGGAGGAGGAGGCGGAGGAGGAGGAGGAGGAGGAGGAGGAGGAGGAGGAGCTCCCCCTCCCCCGCCGTGCGGGGACCTGCGCCGTGGGCGTTCGAGGCCGCTGCGCCTCGGCGGCCGCCCAGGCCCAGTGCCTGCCGGACTGCACCGAGCAGAGCGGCGCCGGCCCGGGGTGGACGTGCAAGGCGCTCGGGGAGGTGTCCCCGGAGCTGGAGCCGCCGGGGCGGTGGCCGGGGGCCTCCCTCATTCTAGGCCTCCTCGATGGGGGGTCCGAGTAGATGGGGTCGGAGGATCGCGCCGCATCGCCGATGCATCGGCGATGCGGCTCGATGTGGAGCCCGATTTTCTCCATGCCGACGTCGCCGATGCGTCGCCGACGTTGCCGATGCATGGACGATACATCGGCGATGCATCGCCGATGTATCGGCGACGCGGCGAGATCCTCCGACCCCATCTACTCGGACCCCATCTAGGAGGCCTCTACTCTTCGGATGCAACTCCTGTTTTTCACCAGCCTCGAACTTATCCCTATGCCTGAGATTGTCGGGCCGGGCGAAAGGGGGGGATTGGGGAAGGGGGGGTTACGACATTTGCTGCATGCAGCTGGTTTCGGCCCCGCCGACGGGCCCATGCCTCGACACATGGCCGCCTCCCGGCCCTGGGAGGCGCCGGGAAAATCAGCTACGTGAGCTGATTCTCAACCCCCCCCTTTGCTATCCCCCCCTTTCGCCCGACCCGAGTGGCCGGGGGCCTCCCTCTTCGGATGCATCTCCTGTTTTTTCACCAGCCTCGAACGTATCCCTATCCCTAAGATTGACACGCCAAAAGGCGATGGCAATCTTTGGGATGCGCCCTGAGAAACTAAGGGAATCCCTAAGATTGGCATTGTGATGAGGCGATGCCCAGCTTAGGGATAGGGATATGTTCCAGGCTGGTAAGTTTTGGACGCCCGAAGAAATGGGTACGGAAAGAATGGGTACAATGCCCAACAACTAATGTCGTCCCAAACCAAAAGCGGCCGCTGTTGGGCAGGCGGCCTGCTGTCTCAAGTGGACACAGGCCGCGGCGACACCGACAGCGAGTCCTGTTCAAAATGACCAGCGACTGCTGCAGGGCATTGTACCCTCTCTTTCCGTACCCATTTCGTTCGTGCCGACCTGTCAAGCAGTGGCGAAGCGTCTTGGCTCGCCTATAGGTCTACCCAGCAATGTTCTGAGAACAGTTTGTGGTGTGCACGAGATGTTCTCAGAACATTTCTGGTTGGGACTATCTCGTTTTAACACATCGGGTGCATGTTCTAAGAACATTGTTTTTTTCTTAGTGCAGCTTTGGGTTCTAAGAGGATTTCGTGGTAGGCCTGTAGGCATGCCGGGACGGTATGTCCCTGTTCAATCTTGGGAGGTAAATTTCTGATGTAGCCTTGGTCCGAAATCCGACTGAACTCGGTTCAATCCCTCTTCATCCGGCTGAATCCTGCGATCCCGCTTAATCCGCGGCCGCATCCGGCGTAGCAGCCCCCCGATGTGGCTTCATCTTCCCTCATCTTTCCGACGACGACCTCCCAGCAGTTGCTTCCCAATCCCTCTGCTCGAAGGAGAAAACACACCGTGAACATAACCTGAGATCCTGGCGTCTCATTTTTTCACAGCTGGCGTTTTCGTGCAACTTCGGTCCCCGGGGCACTCGCAGATCGATCCGGCTCGAAACACGACGCAGAAAGACGGGGGTCTGGGGGTCCAGTCATGATTTTTGGCGATGTTGCATTTTTTGTTGCAACATCGGATCTCAGGGGACGACGGTTCCCCGTCCCCTCGCGTCGTGAGAAGAGAACAGTTCAGGAGGGAAAGAAACACACAGACACAATTGCTCGTCCACTCCCAGGAAAATATGGGAAAATATCGGAAGTGGGGGGGAAGACAGAAACCCAGAAAATATAGGAAAATATGGGGAATCTTTTTATTTGTGTGTATTTATTTGTGTGTCCCAGGGCCCCTTCAATAGTCGACGGACCGTTCTTCGCTGTCGTGGACCTCTGTGGGCCTTCACCGTGCCTCTAGGGAGCGTCTGTGGGTCCTCGCCAGGCAAAGCCGCCAAAAGGCTCAACAAATAGACGCCGGTCGTTGAAAGTAGGTATTTTGGATTCCCAGATCCCAATCAACTTCAAGCGCCTTCCTACTTCAAGAACCGATTCGCTTTTGCTGTGTTTTGTTATTCTCTGGGGGGGCCTGTACCCAATCAACATAATCCGCCTTCCTACTTCATGTTTTTACCTACTTCTTCCGACCGACGTGTATGTGTCTTCGGGCGATTCCCACCGAAGCTTTGGGCGTCTGATCCCGAAGGTGCGCGCGCTCCTTGGAGCGATGTGCGCGGGGCGCGGTGGTCTCGGCCAGCGTTATTCCATGTTATGTTCTGCTCTGTTATGTCATGCTACGTGCGCTCCGATCTGCTACACCATGCGTTGTTATGCTGAGTTGTACTATGATGTGCTATGCCACAACACATGATGATGTGGCATGTGCTTTTTCGATATATCAAGTTCTGCGTTGATTTGTTATGGTATGATTCAGTTGTTATGATATGGAATGAGTTGTGCTGTGATGGTGTTCTATGTTATGCACTGCTATGCCATGGCGCGTTATGTTGCGGTATGGTCTGTCATGGCATGGTCTGTTATGTTCGGACATGTTATGTTCGGTGGTGCGGTCTTCTGCTCTGTTCTGTGGGGGGCCTGGGGATCTGACGGCCGCGGTTTGCAGACTGGGCGAGTCGGCGCGGGGGGCGGGACCACCAGGGATTATATCGGGAGTCTGAGGACCTGGCGGCCAGGACCACGAAGGGGGATCTGGCGGCCGCGGTATATATATGCAGGGCGGGCGGGCCGCGAGGTTCCTGCCCAGCGTCGCCGCGGCGGGACCTCCCCCGGGATCCCATGCAGGGCCCCTTCCATCGAGGCCTCCCAGACGGGGTCTGAGTGGATGGGGTCGAAGGAGATCGCGCCGCATCGCCGATGCATCGCCGCCGACGTGGCCAATGCATCGCCCACGTCGACGATGCATCTCTCGGACCCCCTCTAGGAAGCCTCTACTCCTGGGACCCCGGGGCCGGGGCTGGAGCCATGGCCAGGGCTGGTGCCGCGGCTGGGGACGAGGCCAGGACTGGGACCAGGGCCCACCCCTTCGGGGGAACCTGTCCCCCCTGCAGTCAGGTGGGACCGCCCCCAGGGGCACCCCAGAAGCGGCAATCTGACCCGGGACCCCCTCCCGACCTGTGGGTCTCTATAGATGGGGTCCGAGTGGATGGGGTCGAAGGATCGCTCCGCATCGCCGATGCACCGGCGATGCGGCTCGATGTGGAGACCGTGTTTCCCCACGCCGGCGTCGCCGAGGCATCGCCGATGCATCGCCGATGCATCGCCAATGCATTGCCGATACATCGGCGATGCATTGGCGATGCGGCGCGATCATTTGGCCCGTATCTATTCGGACCCCATCTAGGAGGCCTGTACTACCCCCACCCCCAGTCAGGGAAGGGAAACAGGGAAGGGAACTGACTTAATAGGACGTTTCCTTTTTTCGTTCGTTCCTCAATTGCTCCTGTGGACTGGCGACGACGACGACGTCGACGACGACAGCGTCTCACACACGCCGAAGGGTCGACAGGTGTTTGACTTCTGGGGGCCCCCACCGGGCTTCGGGGCCGTCAACAAACGAGTCGCGATGAAGAGCAGATCTCCCGAAAGGGGTTCAGACCTCCTTGGGGGTCCACGTCATGAAACAATCGCAACGTTTGGTTCTGGGGTGGTGGCGGCGGCGGCGGCGGTCGACGGCCGTGATGGCGAAGACGACGACGACAACGACGACGAGGACTACGAGGACAACGACCAGGAGGGGGAGGAGGAGGAGGCGGAGCAGGACGAGGAGTCGTGCTGCTCGTCGTCCTCTGCGTCCCTCCCCGGTGCCGAAGAGCAGCAGCGAAGCGAAGCGAAGTGAGGTACGGTTCAGACCGCGAAGATGCTGCACTGCTTATCTCGTCCCGTGTTCTTGGTCCTTGGGATATTCTGGCATGTTTGGTCTTTCTCCCGATGTCTTTGGCCGTTTCTCCCCCGTCTTCTCCCCTTCCTCCCCCCCTCCCCTCTCCCTTCTTCCCCCCCAGCCCCGCTAAGCTAGTGCTCGAAGAGATGCAGTGCGACAGCCAGCACGCTCCGCCACGCACGCGCCGTGGCACCCGCAACGTTGGGCGCGGAAGCTCGGCGTTCGCGCAGCGCACCAGCACAAACAAGTGCCTCAAGTGCACATCACCAGCCCACACTCCTCCTCTTCTTCCTCCTCCTCCTCCTCCTCCTCCTCCTCCTCCTCCCCCTCCTCCTCCTCCTCCTCCTCCTCCTCCTCCTCCTTCCCTCCCCCTCCTCCTCCTCCTCCTCCTCCGTAGCCATTTTGGCTCAAGATGCTGGTTTCCCCAGGGAACCAAGCGGATACCGCTAGTCCGCGGCTGGCAAGGCTTCCTGAAGTCTGGCGTCATCTCGGGCCCACATCACCAGCGCTCAGGTCGGTGGGTAAACGGAGGCCTTTCCCGTTCCTGTCGGCCCGAACGCTTCCAGCTGCGAAGCCATGGGTCCTGCGAGGGATGGTGCGCATGTGGGTGATGGCTACGCTCCTGGTGTTGCTGGCCGTGCGCCCTCCTCTGGCGGCTCCTCTTCGTCTTCCCGTGAGAAGTCCAGGAGCGGGGAGAGGCGCCGCCGCAGGCGCAGCGGGCGCCAGTCTCGCGACCGCGCCCGAGATGTGGAGGCAGAGCGAGAGGAGGCCAAGCGGGCGGCCCTGGCTGCGCTCAAGGCTGAGGAGGCGGCCTTCTGGAGGCGGAGGCGGCCTGCCCCACGCTCCCCTCGCAGACTGCGGCGGCCCCGCACGACCCGTGGGCGGCCGCTGCTGCTGGCCTTGGGGCTGCCCCCGCGGGGCACGGCGCGCAGCGGATGGCCCCCAGCACTCCTGTGGGCGGCATGGCCACGCCCGTCCTGGGGGAGGACACCGCTGGGCTGGATGGAGCGCCACCCGAGGCTGCAGCGGCCATCGCCCTCCTGCGGGAATCGCTCTTCGCTGAGGTGCGCTCCAGCCAGGAGCGCCTCTTGCAGAACATGGACAAGAGCCTCGACGGCATCCAGCGCGCTCTTGAGCGCCGCACGGCGCTCCTCGAGAGCAGGCAGGGCAAGGTCGAG